CTTTTTGTGCCACTGCATTCCAGTCTAGTTGAAGCCTCTGGGTGGTCTTCAAGGACAGCCAGCCCCATATAGAGAGCATTACAAGGAGGTGACATGAGCCATGAGGTGACAAAGGCATGAGTGACTATGGGGAAAGCAGCCCAATCCAGGAAGGAATGAAAACAGTGCGCCAGATGAAGATTTTGGCCACAGGTATCACTTGATCTTTAAGAAGAAACTATGAGTCCAGGAGGACTCTCAGATTGTGCACCATTTCAGAATGGGGAAGCACAACCCCATTCAGGATCAGGATGGAGGATTCTTAGACCTGGGCAATAACCACGTCCACTCAATTTCAGTAGGATTGAGTTGGGTGCAGTTTTTTTCTCCATCCAGGCCCTCACAGCCTCAGATACTGTTCTTGAAAGAAGATGAGATCTCATTAAAAAATAGTTTTTATTTCTCCTGAATCTTATATCCAGACACAGGCGTTAGCAGATATGAACCACATCAGAGTCTCGAGACTAGAGGATTTCCCCCCCAATATTTTATTTATTAAACTTGCTTGCCACCCATTTTGTCTAAATCATATCATATGATCTCTACCTTTTGTCATATAGGTAGATATTAAATTCAGATGTTAAAAACTATTTAAAAGGGTAACATACTTTAAATGTAATCTCACAATGTATGTACATCTTGGGTAATGTTTTTTCTTTTTTCTTTTTCTTTTCTTTTTTCTTTTAACAAAAAAGCTTTGGCAGGTCCTAAGTATGCTTTGTAGCCATTTTGATTCCCAGCCAAGCTGCCGAGTCAGAGAACAACAAAAAAGTGGTTTTTACCAAGTCTTTGGACTGCACCCAAATCTTGCAAATTCTTTTGCTTGTTCATAGAAAAGTGTTTTTAGTAATCCCATCATAAACCTCTTAAAAATTTACCTCCATATTTAGACTCTTTGATTCTGGCCACTCCTTAAAACTGATCCTCTGAAAATTGGTGGATTGGGACAAACTTAGCCAAGTATTAATTCAGACAGATCTTCTTATTATTTAGATGTTACAATTCTCCCCAAAGCCAGATATTTCTTCTTAGTTCAGGGTAGATCTGGCTCTGATCACATTTTAATACTATGCCGAATTTTCCTGGTGTTTTTGCCCTCCTGTTAAATAAATGCTACTTCATTCCCACATTCCTTCATTTATATTTTTATTTTTTTAGAATTACAGGTTTTAGGGTTTCAGAAAGCCCTTAAAACTTGACTCTGTGGGCCAAGCCTGAGTTAATGCATTTGTTCTGTGTTTTGTGGGGACCTGTCATGGCTATACTGTTTAGTCTGGATTGCCAGTTTATGTGGGTTTAAACTTTTTAAACTGTTTGTATTATACTTTGAATTGACTTTGTAAGCTGCTCAAGGCCTTCTGGAGTGGGTGGCCATAACAAATCTAATATATAATATAAAATTAATTAAATTCAGCTATAGTTTCAAGGTGAATTTAATAATAGTAAAAATGCTGTTTTATTCTGCTACAAAAATCTTTATTACTCTGTAGCTTATTTCCCCCTTTCCTAAATGGAGAAAGGCCCTATAACAAGAGTGCCCTTCAATTTTTTTGTCGATATTTTGTAGAAATATAGGCACTCTGGAATGTTAGAAGCTGTTTGGAGCTGGATGCAAATACAACTGCTTCTAGTCTACAACCACCTGTAGTTTACCACTGAGACTTGGCCTATTTCCTATGTTTACTGCCATTTTAGTGTCTGTGTTGCCCTTGCTTTAATGTCCTTGGATAGTGTAGCTGCTTTTGGTAGTTGTTTATTAGCCTAAGCTTTGCTCTTTGCTCTTTATCAGCAGTAAGTTAGAAAGGAAGTAGCTGAAGGAACAGAGAAAAGGAACAACATCTTTGCTTCCAAGGACTGCTTGGTTCTCCTGTAAGAAGACTAAGAAGCAATAGTGCTAGGAATTTGTGCCCTAATAAACAAGTACTAGAGATATCTCAAATTCCTGCAGGGTCATAGAAGTCTGAACATCTCATGATACCATGTTGATCAAATGGCAATGATGAAATCTGTGAGAAACCTCTCTGCTGAGAAAGACTGGGCTTGAAATTATGCCAAGTAGTATCATCCACCAATGATGCCATAATAGATGAGCCAGTTATGCATGTATGTAGGAAGCATAAATGGATTGCAACTATAGCAAAGAAATTCTCAACCTTGGCCACTTTAAGACGTGTGGACTTCAACTCCCAGAATTCCCTAGAGGCTATGGAATTCCAGGAGTTGAGGTTCACACATCTTAAGTGGCCAAAGTTGAGAAACACCTACATAAAGCATCCTATAAGATATAAGTATCTCCCCAAGGTACCCTCATATTCACAAAGCACTTTGAAACCACTACCATTCTACTCTCCAATTTCTTGGAAATTTGAAAATGGTCTACATTTTTTTTTTTGTTACTCCTGACTTCATAATGCTAAAAAAAGAATGAAGAATGCCACTTAGTTAGCATTGCAGCTCTTAAATAACAAAAATCCCCTCATTCCTATTCCAAATAAAAAGGAAATAAAATGAATCCTTGCATCCCCCATTCTCCTCAGCATGCTTACTTTGTGTGCTATGAATTTTTCTTATGGAACTCCCTCTCCTGCACCCAAACGTACAGCAGTTCATAAAAGTTTCACAGAAATAATCTGCAGAATTATATTGAAACTATATTGAAAAATGCATACAAACTATTTAATAATATAATCTTAATTACTGTAAAAATAGTCTAGATGTGTGAGCTTATTAACCGATAATAAGATTTACTGTTTGGCTAGATAATAGTTAAGATAGTAGAATAATATGTAACATTTCTCAAATCAAGTGGTTAATATCGTATATTAAAATTTCAGGTACATGGCAGATTCTGTTTGAAAATAAATGATATGATAAGAATTTAGACTTTAGAGTTACGAAAGATCTAGATAATTATTTCCTTTTTATGAAGTTGTTACTTGATGTTAACTACTTGTATTTCTTAAAAGATTGCTTGCATTTCTAATAAAAAAGTAAATATTTCATTTCAGTGAATGACAATCTCACATAAAGCTTCAAAATATTCCATAATTTGTTTCACAATTAGTCACATTTTCAATGGACCTTATTCCAACATTAGTATGATGTTGCAAACATAACGATTATAATAAAATGGTTATCACACGATGGACTACTGCCCTTCAGAGAAATGCATGGTACACATGTACACAGTCATTCTGAACTCTGCACTCCTACACCATTGATAAAAACAATTGTACTGACTAGAAATTATGAAAGAGTTGACACCCTACGGTACTAGCTACCATTGCAACCCTATCTCTCTCTCACACATCCATTTAGGATATCCAGAATTCACCAAACCACAAAACTTGAGTCTTCAGGACTGCTTCTAGCACAGGTCAAATCCTTATCTGCCTTTGACAGAAGCACTTCTAGCTGAGTTTCAGTTTGTTTGTCCTCATCTGATCCATTTTTTTGTATTAAAATATCCTTAAATTCTGATGGAAAAAAAGAGATAGAATTGCATATCGCCAATATATTTGGTCATTTTTGACACATTTTCAAAAACATGGTGATTAGCATTGGAGAAAAGATGAAGCCTTGTGGGAGCTCATAAACCTATAGCTATGCTACTGAATGAGTTCCCCAGCACTTGTTATTCTTTTTAAATCATCCTTTCAAGAAGTAGTGAAGCCTCCATAAAACAGTGCCTCTTGAGTTCCATCAAAGTCTGATAAGAATGGTGCGACTAATGGCAGCAAAAGCTGCTGAGGAATTTAACATAATCACGAAAGATAGTCTTGTGAAATTTGTTCTTGATATTGATCATCCACCAAGACAGTAATGGTGTTATTTGTCCAATAACTAATTAGAAGTGAGCACAACTGAAATGAATCTATATCAGACTTCTCCAACCCAGGTGGCTTTAAGATATCTCAGAATTTCAAAATATTTGTTAAATATGTAGCCAGTTGGAAGAATAAAGTTATTGTTCCGTTTTACAAGGATAACAAGAGTAAATATGAAAAAAATATGAAGGATTAGTTTGTTTAGAGTTTCTAAGAAGACAGAACTGTAATTAAAAGAGAATGAAATGTTAACAATGAGCAATGTCTGGGAAAAACAGTGTGGGCAGAAAACATGCAAATCAGATTTTCAATTTTCTTGTCATTTACAAATGTCTGAATATGAGAACACATTTTGAGATTTAAAGGAACTGTATGAAACAGTGAACAGGCTTGAATTATAGAATGTTTTGTGTAAACATGTAGTTTGGTTGCTGAATGAGACAAGAGCCGTTTCTGATAGAAGTAAAATATGCATGGGCATAAATTGATTATGTAGTGATTATTTCAACATTGGGCAGTGCATAAGACAAGGATATGTGATTCCCCTTGGTTTTTTGTGTCTATGGATAAACGTATAAAGAATTTTGTGGTGATGTTAATGTATTGATGGAAGATCTGAGTCTGTGTGCTGTTAATGTCGTGCTGCTGGCTAAACCTGAATTATCTGCAGGTTAGATATCTGATCAGCTGATATGATGCAACAAGAATAAGGATCTGAAAATTAATATTTCAAAGACCATTAGTGTTTGAACATTTCCCTGTCAAACTCTACCACTCGGAAGGGTAAGACAAGTATAGAATGATCAATTACAAGTTATCCATAAATGATGAAAAATTAGAACATTTGTATAATAAAGTGTATAAAATTTAGTAGAAAAATAGAAGGTGTATATTTTCAGAGAACAGGGCTCATAAAGAGAAACTTAAAATTTAAGTTGACTGCATTGAAAATGAAGTATTTAAGAAATGTGTATAATACAAAAACACAGTCAAGAATGAAAGAGTGATAGATGAATGTGAACTGAACATCAGTATGAACAAGCAATATGAAAGAAATATATTCCTTTTCTCATGTAGAGAAAACAAATGAAGTTCGCCTTGTAAAAAAAAAAAAAGCACAGATTTTCTTTTTACCTTTTGCTGTGAGACATTCTTAACCCGGGGATTGCCTTGGTGGTTATATTGGTGCCTGTGAACTCATTGAAAAATAAGGCCAGATATTAATGTTGTATTCCTTTCTTGTGTATATTTTAAGTAATAGTGTTTGAAGCCATAATTTTAAAAATAGCCTTAAAATAACAAAAAACAATCTTCATGAAACCAACAGGACTTGCTACCAAGGAAAACTGTAGCACAAATCCTGAATTTAATTTTCCGTCCATTATCACTGTCAGAACACTAAATGTACACAAATCTATAGATTTTGGCATAGGAATAGATCATTGTCAGGTATTCCCAAAAGATTTTTCTAAAATTAGTGGTAGACTTTTCTAAAATTGGTAGTGTTTATCACTGTGTAACAAATGTTGCCATTAGCTTAAGGCACCAGGCTAGAAAGCAGGAGACTTAGACATGAAAGCCAATTAGGTGACTTTGGGCCAATCACTCTTTCAGTCCAACTCTCCTCAAAGAGTTGTTATTGAAAGAAAAATAGGAAGAAGATGTGTTGGATATGTTCACCACCTTGAGTTATTGTAAAAATAATAAAAGCGAGATACAAATTAAATAAATAAAGCAATAAACCACCAATTCTGTTAAACTACCAGGGAACGATTCAAATCTTCCAACTTCTGATCCCTAAAATAATACCGAAATCATATGTGAGAGATATGGGTTCAAAAAGGTATATTGCAAAGAATGCCTCTAGGCATTCCAGAGTTGGCATCTTCCTTTGTTGGAAGGGAATGATATCATGAGAATTTTATTGCTGTAGATCTTTGGCCTTTAATAGTCATTACACTATATTCAGCAAGGTAAGATTTTCTGTTAACTAAACTCTTCATTGCACAATGTCTAAGAATTTCCCAACTCCACTTCAGTTTCAGCAGCCAATAATTCTGTATAGTATGGATCCAACTATGTAATACAGTAGATTTGACAGATCTCTTTTAAGTCTATGGTTGTGTTTGCATGATAGACATAACAACTATTCACTTCTGAACACTGTGATGCATGATTAGGGATGACCTGGTCTGTCATGTCTTAGACATTTTTTTCAGTCTTGTGAAGCACCACAAAAGGAATTGCTCCTTTTAAAAATAAAAATTGCAATAATAATGAGAAAGAGGATGAAAGAGCCATGGTGGAATGATTGATCTGGTTGATAGATTGGGGAGGGGATTCATAAAATATAACATAATATATAAATGCTTTTACAAAAACAAGATGGATATCCTTCCCTTTCATGACAAAATTATTGCATGTTTGTGAACATGCTATTTCCAGCAATAGCATAATGTTCAGAGTAGAGGCTACTTGAACTCCCTTATTCCAAAGGTGCTTTTTCAAGAGGCAACTGGACTTTCTGGTTTTTCTTTGAAGATGTTTCACTTCTCATCCAAGAAGCTTCTTCAGTCTGAAAAAGCTCTGAATCCAAGACCTGGATGACTGAGAATCTCCATAGACTGTACTCCCTTACTTTGCATGAGAGCAGAATTTTATATAAGGCTTCCCTCAACAATCTGACAAGATGATCACAACCCTGCATTATTCTGTGGAGGGTTTAATAGGTTAAAACCAGCATTTTAAATTGAGCATGGAAGCTTATTGTCAATCAGTGTAGCAACTGTAGAGGAAATGTCTACCTGCAATAATCCAATCACTGTCTTCAGTACCAGTTCTGAGTAATCTTCAAGATGTCCCACATAGTATATTATAGTAACAGTGCATGGTGACAAGAGCATGACCCACCATGATAAAATTTCCAGGCTTGAGATAAGGTTATATGTAATAAGTCACTCAAAGCTGGACAAAGGCCCCAGTTGTTACAATCTCTACTTGTTGAAACAGAAACTGAAGTCCAGAAGGACCTTTAAATAAATCACTTCCTCCTTCATGATGAAAGTATTGTAACCCTGTTCAAATAACAAGGGGGACCAAGGTTCCCAAAAAGAAAGTTGCTTATGGAAAAACATCACTTTATCTTGCAAGAGATGAAGGTGATGCTTCCCCCCACCCCCATATAGTCCCTCATAGCCTCCAGACACCAGTAGAAGGCCTTCACTGCACATCCAGTCTGCTTCAGAGTTGCAAGACATTTCATATAATCACCACCCAAGAGAGGATCTCCATCAATAACTTCTTTAATAATTAAATAACATTGGGTACAGGATCAAGTTTGCTGCAGAAATCAAAACATGATTGCTTTCTGTAGGAATACTGTCTAGACATTCACTTAAGTAGGAACAGAATCACTATAAAACACTGCTCCTAACTCTCTAGTCTTGCAAGCAGTCTAAAGGGGTATTTTACTTGGATGATACAAAACTATGTTGAGTGTTCAAGAGGGTGAACTCTCTCCATACAGATCCCAACAAAGATCACCCACCGGAGCAAACAGGTCTCTCTGTCCTACCTATGTACAGGCATGAATCCTGATGGAACGGCTTCTACTTCTCCAAGATCCTGTGTAGTTGATTTTCCATGCCCCTTTTGACAAACAAAGGGACAGAAGTTGTTTAATATAGCTGGATCAAGAGCCAAAGTCTTTAATTTCTCTGAACCATAAGGCTCAGGGAAAATTAGGTATATCTCATTGTTTTCTAAGTAGATGTGAGAAAAGGGCAGAGGAGGGTATCAAATGACATTCCAGTAACTAAGAATGGAAATGGCACGTATAACACTCTAATGTTGCAGTGAGTCGCAGTGTCAGGATGCCACTCAGCCTATTCATGGGTTTATCCAGGAGCTGTCAATGACACTGGTTTACAAGTTCAGGATGCCAATCCAAAAAGTAATATGAAATTTGCTAAGAAATTACTGAATTGTGGAAGCTATTCAAGACTTCTATTTTTGGTTAAAATGCCTTTCATGTTGTAGAATAAATTGACCAGAGAAAAATGTTTGTCGAAGTAAAAGAACTGTGCAATAAAACAAAACAAACAAAAAACCCTCTTATTTATAACTTGGATTTACACAGCACAGGGAGCTGGAGGCATTTGAACCCACCATGATGCAAGTTAAATTTGTGGTTCTCTGTGTTATGAAAAATTAGAAAAGGACAACTGGTAAACATGTTAACTGTAGGGGGATGCATGCCAACGCCATCAGAGAGGTATTTACCAATTACTCATATTTAATTTCCCTAGCAGAGTGACAGAATTGATTCCCTGTTTCAAACTTCTTGGGTTTGAATTTTCCATTCTCAAGAAAAAAACCTAAAGCAGACCTTCAGCACATAAGGCTTTGCATGAAGGTCTTCACTGACATACAGGAAATGCCAGTTATTATGGGGGGAGTCCTGAAAAAAGTCTTCTCCGTTGCTGTTCAGGATGCTTCCAACCTTGCTAAATGCCTCAGAAGCCCACTAATTGCCTTATTTCTGCTGACCGGACAGATACAACGGCTTTTTCACAAAGCAGATCGGTGTGCAATCCTCCCGAAGCGCAGGCAAACGGAAGAATCCCTAGTGAGGAGCAGGCACCTTCCCCAAGATACCGTTTCTCTGGTGGATGCAGGGCAGCTGAGAGAAGAAACTTGGCTGGGGGAAGGAGGCGAGGAAGAGCGGCCAAGGCGAGCGCAGAGCCAAAAGCCAAATGCACCTGGCCGGCCAGAGGCGGCGCTGAGAGAGGTCGGCTGCGCAAAACCAGCCCCGGCGCCCCTCAGGTTACCTATAGCCTCCGCCCTCTTCCTTTCTTTCTCCTTCCCTCCCGCAACCTGGGCCCGCCCATCGGCCCAGTTCCCCTCCGGCTACGCAACTGGCGCAAGCCACGCCGCAGGCGTAGTGGCCGTCCGGGGAATTCGCTGCCTGCCCGCTCAGAGCCGGTGCGCTTGACTGACGGAGGGCCAGTGTGGGCTGGGATGTGACCCGCCAGAGAAAATGGCGGCGGCAGGAGGACCAGCGGCGGCGGCTGGGGATCACATCGCCTCTTCGGTGGGATTATCTTGTGGGAACGAAGCCGCCGCCGCCGCCGGAGTTGCCGCCTCCGTAGCAGCGCCCGCCACTGGCGTTCCGAGCCCGAAGCCTTTGCGGTACAGCAGCGGCGCTGCACCGGTGCTCGTCGCGGGGCTCCCCACCAGAGACAGCGGCGGCGGCGGCAACCAGAGGGAGTCGCGCTCAGACTGGAAGCGGAAGCAGCTGCGCAAAGTGCGGAGCGTGGAGCTGGACCGGCTGCCGGAGCCCGCCGAGTGCCCGGAGCTGCCCCTTTGCTTCACTAGAACCGCCGGGGGCGCCACGTCCTCCTCCACCCCCCAGCCTGTGGCCCCGGCGCCGCGCTCCACCCCCGGCAGTCCCGCGTCCTCCCCCAGCCGCGGCGGCGTCTTCATCGCCGGCTCCTACGACCCGCAGCAGCCGGACGTCGGGAGCCAAGCGGCGGGAGCTGGCGTCGCCCAGAGGATCTCGGAGTTCCTGCCGCCGCCGCCGCCACCCCCCACTTCAGCCGGAGCTGGGTGAGTGTGGCTGCGGGGTATGGACGGGCGGGCGAGAGTGCGCGGGGCTGCGGTTGACACTTGAGAGCGGTGGGATCCTTTCGGCCTGGCCGAAGGCAAGGGGTGGCCGGGACGCCGGGGTCGGGGCTGTTTGCGGCCACCGCTTTCCCTTCCCTGCGCGGGCAGGTAACGCGGCGCTTGGGGCGCCTTGCAGAGAGAGGGCGCGTGTTTGCAAACACACCCGGGCGAGCCTCGAGAGTTGCCTGCCTGCCTGCCTGCGAGCTCGGATTTGTCAGGGAAGCCGGCCAGGGGTCGCTTTCGGGGGCAGGTCAGCGTGCGGCGCTGCTTCCCAAGCATTGTTTTGGCAGCACACTCCCCTGCCCAGTGCACGCATCCTTTGCTATTTTAGCCCCCTTAGAAGTGTTTCTTTTCTGGCGCTAAGAGCCCCATTTTGATTTTGACTCTGCTATGGGGTTGCAGAAGGAATGGGCGCGTTTCAAAGGGCGCCCGGGGCCGAAAAGCCATTTCAATACCTGCCCAGCGGCGGTTGCTTGAGAGACTTTGAAGTTTGAATTGGCCGGAGTGGTGGAAAAAGACCGGATGTCCCAGCCTTTCAGTGTGTGTGCGGATCAACCCACTAATTCTTCAGGCGATTCTTTTCTCTTGTACTAGTAGGAGGATCCCGAGTTGGAGGGGAGGAGGTGAGGGGAATGGGGATGCGGGTAAACATCGCTGTAAAATGCAAGTATTTTAGATTGGTTTGCCGTTCAATTGGTGTTCTCAACAGTTCAGGAACCGAGAGCGCGTCTGTAGCTTGTTCCCCCCACGCTGTTTGAAAACAGGGAAATCTGTTTACGGAGTGGGAGAAAGCAGGGTTTTTTTTTTTTTAATCCATATGCCTCTCTACCCGGCTGTCGTTGAATATAAATGGAGATTTCAGGTGACAAGGCTTGAAAACAGTGTGTATGGGCTTGTCTTCGTTTCTTAAAGTTAACTGACCATGCAGAATTTGCCCTGTTTTCTCGACAGCAAACACAGGTTTCAGTTGGGGATATTAAATTAAAAATCGCTGGTTTAAATTTGACAAAGCTGTGGGTTTTTGTTTTTTTTATACATATGTTAAAGTGCCTCGGTGTCTGTTTTTAGTAACCTCTGTTCAGATAAACGCATTTTTTCTCAAAACATTTAACCAAGGGTTGATGAAGAAATGCCCTTATAATCAGTAAGGGGGTGCTCTGAGACCTACATTCTGCATTGCTCATAAAAGAAGCCTGATCCTAAACAGGAATCTCTCTCAGAAGCAGATCACCTTGACCTCCCTGAGTCACTTTCAATAAGCATGTTTAGTCTTACAGTCTTAATATACTTAATTTTAAACTACTTGTACAACCAGATCTAGTTCTTAGGCAGCCAATAATCAGTGGTTCTGTATATGCTTATAACTTGTGAATTTGCTACATTTGGGGTTGGGGTAGTCATTGAAATAAATTAAAATTAATTGCTGAGAAAATATTTAAACATACTGGATAAATCATTTTACTTAAATAGTTTATCTCCACATGGACAGTACAGATTTAATTGAAATAAATCCAACAAAAATAAAGCCAGTGCAAATTATAATTTCAATATGTTTAAACATTGAATAGCCATTATTACTCTTGTTAATATTTCAGCTAAGTTTGTGTGTGTGTGTGTGTGTGTGTGTGTGTGTGTGTGTGTGTGTGTGTACACGTATGCTCATGCATGCATTCAAGTCATTCTTGACTCCTAGTGATTGCATGGATAAGCCATGCAGTTTTCTTGGGAACATTTTTGAAAGTTATTTGCCATTACCTTTATTCTAGAACAGAGGGACAGTGGCCCAAGGTCACAGCTGGCTTTGTGTCTCAGGCAGAACTAGAATTCAGTCACCTGGTAAGTAGCACGGTGCTGCTACACCATACTCCAAATAGTAAATGCCTCAACTAAATTCTTAAAATCTAAATCACATTATTACATTTAATACAATGAGTGCAGTAACTAATATTAATTCCTTTCATAATTCTTTCCCTTCTTGAAATAAGTAGATAGTGCAGCTGCTTTAAGGCCCTCACATGTTTCTCTCTTATCTATGATCTTTCAACCCAGGGTTTAAATAGTTCCTACTTCATCACATTTCTGAATTATGAACGCTATTTGCAGTATGTCCCATCATTCTAATTCAAAATGCTTATGAAACAAAATAAAAATCTATAACTAATTCTGGTCTAAGCAATTAGCTATGTATATGTAATAGATTGGAATAGGGATAAAAATATTCATCCATCCATCTAGGGATTCGATGATTACTAATGCAGTGTAACATCTCCATTTGGAAAAGGTTGCAGCTGCATAGAATGACTTTCCTTGCTGAATATGAGAATTAAGTTAGCCATGACAGTTAATCCAAAGTTAAATAGTCTTAAATTATTCAGTTCCCCAAATATTTAACTATGATAATACCCTGGCTTCCATGAAATAAAGAGTAAGGTAGCTTTCTTGACAGTGTCTTAATTTTACTATGTTATTTTAGCCTTCCATTTATTTTACCTAGCAATTTAAAATTGGAGATCCAGATTAGTTTTTTGTGTACTTTAATGTTACTTATTAATGTGTACTTTCATTCAGTAAATGCTGCTAGAATTTCATAGTATTAATTGTTCACTGTTCTTAAAGAGTATGGAAAAGCAGCTTTTGTAAAAGTAAAGTTGTGGTTTTGAGTGTTTCAAAATACTGATTATGTCCAACAGTAATAATGGAATCTTAAAAAATGGAATTTTAATGATAAAATAATTTTCTGAAACTTAGGCTGCAATCCAAACACTGGGACCAAGTTCCATTAAGCTCAGTGAAGTGTAGTCTGAGTATAAGGATAAAGCTACACTTACATAATTAAGCAGCCTTTTTGGTGTCACTATGATTTTTCCTATCTTATCTATGAGGAAACAGTCTTAATGCTACTATAATAAGCTTTTTATAGGTGAGGATTATAACTTGAATTCCTGCTAAGCCCTTATGCAATTTGTCTTTCAAAAATAGTAAACTTTATATTTTCATTACCAAAGATTTCTGTTGCTCCTGTATTTGTTTACATTGGAGTGATGGAGGAAGAAATTGTGCCAGAATGATACTTGAAAATATATAGCTAGACAATTTTGTGTTATTGGACTAACTAAAAATTAGGTTTTTGTATATGTAGAAAGGTTTGAAAAAAATACAATGGAATAACAATTCCAATATAGTAGTATGCTATATATACTGTATTTGTGCATGCATATGTGTGTCTTTCTCTCTGTGTGGGATCTTATTAGTACAATAATTGTTATAGTTTAACTTATAACTCAGTTCGAACCAAATAGCAAAAGCCACAATAATTAAACTTTGAAGCATCAGTGGAGGTGGAAGAATATAGAAGAAGCAAATAGGAAAGAAGAGTCGTCTGTGATCTGTTAGGTCTCAGACATTTCAGGATTGGCTTTAAAACCATGTTTTTAAAAATCTGATATTTAACTTTATGCTGCTTGACTTTATAACATCAAAGCATGAAACATTTAAATTGCAATATAAAAATGCACTATAAACAACAAATCAAATAAATGGTCAGTGACCATATATTTAAACAACAAACATGGATTTTTCAAATGCCAGTGTGAATGAAAAAGTTAGCAGTGTGCATCTCAGCTATCCCAGTGTCATTTTATATCTTATTTCTGGTAAGGTACAAAATGGACAGCGCTTACCATGCAAACAGCAGCAAACATCCCCTCACTGTTCCCAGTGTGACAGAGGAAGAGGTCGATTATCTGGACTTATAGAATGAATTCTTCATTTCAATAACCTTAGGCATCAAAGATGGCTGTGTTAAATAAATATCTGATCAATATTTGCCTGATGATTGATATTATGAGTATAGCCGCAGATACAATGAAATCAGCTCTTCTAATTTGTTAGATACTGAAAAGGCCTTTGATAGGGTGCAGACTGAACATTAAATGCATTTTAAGAAGGTATGGTTTCTATTGTATTTTTGTTCATGGCATTGCAATTTAGTTTTTTCATCCTGTAGCTTGCCTGATCACCAATCAATTTGTCAGGCCTTTAAATTATATTGTGACCCTTTAAATTATAAATAATGTACCCTACCTCTTGATTTTCAGTTTGATTTTTAAACCGTTGGTAGATTCCATTACACAATCTCAGAATATTAAAGGCAAGGCACTTAATATTGAATATATATTATTTTTATACAGTATATTAATAATATGGCTATTCTTGAAAATTATATAAAATATTACAATGTTTGTTGATATTACAAAGCAACAATGTTTATAGTATGGGCATTCTATTACAGGAATACATCTCATTTACTATCTTTGGGATCTATTACTTTTGTAGATTATTTTTAATTAGATTTTACAGTTTGAACAGATTCTATACAATACTTGAGTATACATTTCTTCCAAAATTTATCACAGTATGTTGAATGCCATAATGCCGTAATGTTGAATTAAATGTCTGAATCTATAGCTACAACTTCAAGGGATATAACTTGACAGTCAAATTTCTTATAAAATCTTTTGAGTTAAGTTTAATTATATTAAAAAGGAATATTACATTGAAATTAATATATACATATTTTAATAGGAATCCCAATGTTAATCCCATCAAATCTGCCATAATGCGAATGAAGTGATTTTATGCAGAAATATGTAAGGTGTAATGGAGTTTCAAGTAGGAACATAAGAACATTCAATGAAGTCTGTTGGTTTAGGCCAACAATCGATATATGGCATCATTTGGTGTTGCATAACAGGTAGCTAGATGCATTCAGGAAGCTCAGAAGGGCAATATTTCTCTTTTATTGTTGTTTTCTAATATCTGTTATTATAGGTAATGCTGCATGTGGTTCAAGAGGTATTAAGCAGTCATTAAAAATTAACAATGTTAATTATTTAGTTTTTTGTTAATCTATACATTCCTTTTTAATATGGTCTATATTAGTG